CCTTGTGGGTATCTTTTCATTCTTTACAACTGTGATTCCAGACTTCTTAGGCACTACTTAGACAGGGCTGACCTAGTACTGTTTGAGATGGGATAAATGATGCCAGCTTGTAGTAGTTTGGTGACTTTCTTATTCACCACATCCAAAATGGTTCAACCTCCTTTGTGGTTGTCTTACTAGTTTAGCGCCTTCCTCTAACAAAATTTTTGCATGCACATGGAAAGGCTAATACTAGGGACATCTATAAGTGACCACCTAATAGCCTTCTTATTCTTCCTAATGACTTCTAGTAGCTTTTTCTCTTGTTCATCACTAATCTTTGTGGAAATAATGACAAGGAGCTTCTCATCTACCTCCAGGTAAGCATACTTTAAATGTTCAGGCAAAATTTTCAACTCTAATATGAGTGACTGTTTTATAGAAGGAAGCAATCTGTTATTGGTGTTTGCTGAAATTTCTATAACATACAAATCACTAGGGTCAAATATGTTTGTACTTGTTGTAATCAAGTTATTACATTCTGACTCCATGAAATTTGTAGCTGCATCAACATCAAAATTTGCAGAATTATCAGTTAAAAATTCATCTCCTTCAGCACAGGAACTATACATGGAAGAACTACTACATAGATCACAAGCACATGTTTTGGTACAGTTAGAGAAATCAAGAAAATTTTATTCTCCTAAAAATTCAGACAAGCTATTATCAACAAGTTTAGTAAGCAAATCTATGTGGAATACCGAATGGTCCTCAATAGGGTATTTCATGGCATCCAGAATATTTAAATAAATCATGCTATCTCTAAATTCTATAGTGATCGTGCTAGCATGAACATCAATTTTTGTCCTAACTGTCTTTAAGAAAGGCCTACCCAAGATGATGGGTGTTGCACTATTTAATGAATCTCCTTCTTCCATATCCAATATGTAGAAGTCTGCAGGAAAAATGAGATTATTCACTCAAATCAACATGTCCTTAATGAGTTCTGCAGGGTGGGTTGTGCTTCTGTTGGCCAGTTGTATAACAACACCTGTAAGTTGCAAAAGACCGAGATAAAGAAGTAAAAATAGATAAAGACATAACATTAATGGACGCTCTTAAATCAAGCATAGCATTTTTAAACTTGTTACTGCTTATGGTGCAAGAAATGGTGAATGTTCCTGAGTCTTCATATTTCTCAAGAATGATTGTTTTTGGCTTTTCAAACAAGGTTGACACATTCCTTCCTATATTAACTCTCTCATTACCCTTCAAATGTCTCCTGTGAGTGCACAAGTCCTTTAGAAATTTAGCATATATTGGAATTTGTTTAATGGCGTCCAACAAGGGTATGTTGACCTTCACTTTTCTAAATGTCTCCAAGATTTCCTTATCCGCTTCTTCTATTTTTTTGTTGTGCTAGAATGTCTCCAGGTGATGTTACTCATAGCCATTTGCCTTGTGAGTTCCTCTAAGGATGATTCATTCTTTGAGGGTGTAGCAGCTTGTGATGAGAATGGTTAATGTTGCTACAGTTGCACATGTTGTGGCTGATATGGCTTGCTTGTTCTAGCAATGTAGGATTGATAGGGAATGTTGGGTTGTTGGTTGTGATGTTGTGCAGAATTTTCCCACCTTAAATTTGGATTATTCTTCCAGCCTGACTTGTATCTATTGGAGGATAAATCCCAACTTTGTTGCTGTTGTGGCTACTAAAAAGGGAATTTGTTAATATAAATATTAGTAGTGTATGCTTGAGGATTACTTTCTGAGGTGTCCGTTTCTTGCAATGTGGGACAATTGTCTGTGTAATTGTCTGTTGTAGAACAAATTTCACAAAGCATGGTTAGGGTTTACAGAGTTGTTGTAACACTCCAAAAATTATCTCCTTTCTTATACATACATATATACATGTTTTGATTTTTAGAATTTAACTTGCCTTGATTACTTCTCTTGCTATTCACCTATGTTTTGATGTAGTTAGAAACCATTCGTGCCTTAAAATTCTGTTAAGTTAACATTACATGAAATCCTTTCTAATATTTTCTTTTTTATACTAAATCTCATTGGTGAATTATGTAACATTTAGGTTAGCATGACACTAAGTTTTCTCCTTCCATAAAAGTGAAGTCCCGGTAGTCCATCATGAATTGTGTAAAGGGGAGGTGAGTGCCACTTTGAGGAGCCACGTCCAACCTCGTTGGAAAAACTTCAATTTCTTTGGACCTCTACAACGTCTAATTTCTTATAAAACTATTGCTGAAATCTTTCCCTTCATATACGTAAAGTTTCCATAATATAACAAAGGAACATCCAATTTCATCTTGTCCATGCATGGCACAATTTAGGTGGTTTTTTTTCCAACTTACACGTGTATCCCACTCACATACCATCCTCAGTCTGCTAAGTATTAATTCAGCCAAAACGCAAACATACATTAGGAAGATGAGACGTGATTTTTAACCAAGATCTTGGCAAAGTGGAATGTAGATCTTCCATTAAATGCACCCCTCACCTACACTTAAATGTGTCCCTCTCTCTTTGTGCCAACAACTTTAAATCTCCTATCCCAGGCTTGAAATAACAATACTCCTGCACTCTTCTCTCCTAATGAAGCCTCACAAATCATTAAGCTAAGTGAATGGTATTGAAAAATTAAAACATAGCCGCCTATGGTGTCATCAACTTAATGTTGCTGCTGCACCACACGCCCAAAAGGTTCCACCATTGAGAAGAAAGAACAAAAAGGAACCAAGCCTAATATCCCTTGCATGCAGTGAAGGATGAAAAGAGTGTGTATTAGGGATAGCTTTCGATTTATCATTTTAAAAACACTCTATTCTTATAAGCTCTGACCTTCTTCTCTCTTCTTACCCTCCCTCATCTTTCTATATTTCATTTCCTTTGCCTTGTCTCTCTAAAGATTGCAAATCATGGTCTTCACCCAGCTGAACCGAGACTCTCCACATCCAATACATTATTCTTATCATGTGATTCTTCTTAACAAGTAATGGGGAAGTCCATAGTGTGAAACTTTGTTGAGATTTTCTATATATTTGACTGAGATCTTGCTGTATGTTTAGTTGAGTCCTCATTGTATGTCTAGTTGAATCCTTATCGTGTATATGATTGGATTTCATTGCATGCAACCTAATAAAAACTACCTCCATTGAAGAAAGAAAGGAGAGTGAGAAACAAAACGTGAAGTGTTGACACATGCAACTGATGCCAAGTAAAAATCTGGATAGCCCCATGATTTTGACATTTGCTTGTAAAAGGATACTGAATGTTTTGTTCTTTATAGTAGAGGGAAAGACAAAGATGTAGGGCGAGGAAATAGGTGAGAGTGCTAAGTGATTTTATAGTATTGAAAATTAGAAACTTCTTTGTTTTGTATACATGTGGAGATCTTCCATCCGGTTTTCATTAGGGGTTGTGTGAATATAATTTATTTTGTGAGTGAATGTAGGTTATGGACAAAGAAAACAGAATGGGTAAGGAATTTTCTTGTACTCTATTTGTATTATATGATGAATAAATGGACACTTTAGTTGTGCATGTCCGTGAATATTATACCGAACAGCTTTATCATTTAAATCATGATGAGTGGAGATTTAAATTCTTGAACTTAGGTAGGAAGAGAATCGTAAAGATAATATTGATGATCATAAAAGACTTTCACCTATATTATAACTTCATCAAAACCAATCAAACTAACATATTATAATATCAAAACAAAAAGTCGAACTCTTAAAAAACTGCAAAATATCCAAAACATAACAAAAAGAAAAGGAAAAATGTCAAGGTCACCCAAACAATGAAGGCTTGCCAATAGAGATTCTACTGGGATGGACTGATGTTAAACTTGCAATCTATTATATGATGATTTATAAATGTTAAATAAATAAGAGGATAAGTCACATAGACTCAACGAGAGTATAATAACTACAATAAATAAGAAAGGAAAACAAATATAGTACAAGTAGTTCACAATTATAAAATTTACTTAAAACATATTACTTTAAAAGAAATTCATTATAACCACTCTTTCAAAAGTTTGGTCATAGTCAAAAGTATATAAGTTTACATCATTAAGAATATTGTTTCAATCACAAGTGATAAAATAAAGTACACATAAATAAAAGTTAAATGATAAAAGTTTCTTAAAATATTATGAAAGTAAATGTCAATATAATACCATGAGGGTCACTTATGAAAGAACCAAAATCTAAAGTAGTTCTACCTCATTGATAGCTCTCTCTTTTTAAGAGTAATATCTCCTTCAAAGATAGCACCATCTAACGGGTAGTTCTCTCCTTACATATATTATGTCCTAATTTATGTCAATAAAGAGCATATCTGCCATGTTGATAGTCCTCTCCATGACATGACTGTTCTATTTAACCTATAGCTCTATCCTTTTAGAGTATAATTAAGAACACCTAAGTCATTATTTCTACCAAAGGTTACAAGGTCCTTACATAGTTCTTCCCAAAAGTATTTATCTAACAAAAAGTTATTATTATACACAAATCAAATTTATTTTCAATAATAAAAGTGTTAACGCATAAGCTCTATAAATTAACATTATCATTTTTTTTCTCTCAAATAAGCTGTCTAAATTAGTGAAAACATTTTTATTTCTCACATACTCAATATTTTTTTCTCTTTTTCTTTATTGACACTCTCCGTTGCTCTTATACGAATTTGTTATCCAAATAACAGTTAATATATAAAACACACATGAAAAGGAAGATAACTTTTGCTTCAAATATTTCTTGCTTCGCAAAATGATACAATCTGATACTGCGTTGTGCAGAACGATGCAACCATATCTTTTGTTAATAACCACACAAAATAAACGGTGCCAACAATTTTACAGCTTTCAAGATTCTTTGTATTTGTAATTCAGCTTTTTCAATAGCCACAATCTTTGATACTACAATTACTTTCTGTAATTTCTTCAGCTTGATGAACACGAATAAGTTACGAGTATAGTAAAGAAGGCTTGATTTACTTGTCTACAATTTGCATATAAATATATCATTAAAACCGTTGAAGCAAATGAAATACTGTGACAGTTGTCAATGATTTAGTTTGCCACAAACAGAGCTAATTCTTCCAGCTAAGCTATAACACAAAATTTGTGGTGAACTTTCTGCTTGATAATTTGTAAATGTCAAATGCTAGGTCTAGTGTCCAATTTGCACTTGCGAATTGGCAATGACTTTGTAGTCGCATATATTCACATAAGCCAGTTGTCTATATGATGGAGCATAGTCATATTATCTTAAGCGTTTTATAATTCAAGTGAATCAAGATCAGGAGTTACATCAACCCTTTTGTTAAGCTCGCCGAGAACGCAGCAGTGTTTCTCTGCAAAGTTTATCGCCACAAAAGCCTGAGCAAATATACACTTCGAACCTGGAGACACCTGTGAGAGAAAGAAAAATAAATTGTTATAAAATGCAATAACTGTAGTTACAAGACAAAAGAATGAGATTTTTTTTTTCCCGGGATCTACCACTTTATCATAAATTAAATTGATTGACCCGAGAAGAATAAAGTGACTATGCACTTAATTTAGTATATATAATAAACTGAGAAAGAGATGCTCAAATATTAAATGGGTGGGTTGGTAAGCGTGGTGATGCTAATTGTAAATTTCACAAAACGGGTGGACTTACATCGAAAATAGTTTCTCCTAGTTTTAATTTGATTGCTCCACTCTTGTATACCTGCATTTTACCCATATACCCTGTTGGCAACTCTTCCAAGGCACTCGCCTTTGACTTTGTGGCCTCTCCCGACACAGTTAATGTGCCAACTTTCTCCTTCCCCTTATTATTCACTGATTGCTTGGCCAAAGGCAGAATAGGAAGCTGAAAGAGAACCATCTTTGGTTGCTCAATCTTCTCCTGTTAAATTATTTATGCATTACATCACAGTTTCTGCTGTATGACGAATGGACAATAACTTTTATATATGTCATTATGACTACTAACCAAGAGCCCGAGTTCTGCAGAAGGATTGACAGATTTCTCATCATATTCCACACTGGTAGCAGCTTCCCCAAATTCTTCCTCGTCAAGAATTTCTACCAGAATGAAAAATCAACACATGACTGTCAATTTAAAAAAAAAAAAAAAAAATCCTTTGGAACTGACTTTTACTAAGAATATATCTTTGACAGTCTAAAAGTATCTCGTATCTGTCAGGTTGATGAATATTAAGTTTTTGTTTAGTGCAGTTTATGATAGCTTGTTTTTGCCAGCTTCTTGAGACTGTTTTTGAAAAATAAGTAATTATTTCTTAAAAAAGTAATCATTCTCCAACATGCATTAATTCTATTATGAAATCATTTATATGAGAGCAAACCTGGATTTCCAGAATACGGCTTCCTCAGAGGAAGAGTAGTAGGATAGTAAGAGTTGTCATAATCCTGTAGTTTAGTGAAAAGGTTCAGATGCTTAAATGGGAAAGATACGCTGATAAGAAGAGAATAGAAGAGTGATGGCAATTTCTCACCCATGGTTCCTTGTACTCTCTTTTAATTTTCCGGGCTGATGCATTAATGTTATCATCAGTAACATCTATTATACAACTATCATTTTGATCCTCATTAGCAGCTGAAGAACGTCTGAAACCAATTTGCTCGTTAGTAAAAAATTTAGACGCTGAGCCACTGCTTGTGCCACTCTCGACCCCCTTGGTGGCACCATAAGTCCTGAGGGAAGATGATGAACCTCCAGGACCAAATGCAACTTCCACGCTGGCTGCAAGTTTTAAATACAAAAACTAAGCACCAAACAAGATGAATAAAATGTTAATTATGAAGGTGAAGGTAATTTATCATTGTCAGCAGGACACACAGAATCAACTAAAGTGAATCTAAGATATGTTCATGCAGTCTAAGATATTTTCCATGGTGAAATGGTTTAGACAAAAGTCTAATATCCAACAAAGAAACTTCTTTGGAAAGCCAAAAAGAACCCATTTAAATGTAAAATAACTCGTTTCAAACTAATAACACGTTTTTCCCTTCAACCAGATACTAAATTACCTCTCCCAACACAGCGACTATGTTTAATTTCAAAAACCTAAACATCAACCACAAATGTTGACAAAAAGCAATGCAGCTATCATGAAATAGAGTGATTAACAATGTTCTACAATGTCTTTCATACTTGCAACCATGTCTTTTGTCATTTAAGGTTACAAAAACAGATGGGCAATAATGTTTTGCAAAACTAACGGAAATTTACATTTTCTTTCAACTTTAGGCTCGCGTCTTGCAATATTCTCCTGCAAATATGAAGAGTAAATCAGTATTGCTTTTGTGCAGTATGCAAAAGGGAAAAACATAAAAGGAAAGAAAAAGCCTCGTTAGCATGTCCATTTAACATAACAATTGCAGCCTTCTGATAATTATCCGAGTCAAATCCATGCTGTCTTTATAACAACCATTGACATTGAGATTGATATCGTGTCAAATGCCAATATTGTTGGGAACTTATGTAAGGATTAATAAAATTAAAATTTGAGAAAGTTCCCTAGCAAACAGTTTAACTATTCTCTATGAGACGAGAAATAAAAAGTAAAAGTCAGTATAAAATTGCAACTTCACATGTCAGGTACCTAGAGAATAGGAGTATACCGCTCTGATTAATATACATAGCACGTGCAATATGGTATTTTCTATTTAGGATTTTGGGTGCCACGACATCCCACTAGTAGCTATAGCTTGATTAATCTTAATGTTGCAGCATCTTAGGAATGGAACGATGGCATCGCTAAAGTAACCCATATAAAGGAAGGAGAGAAAATAACTAAATTGATCTAAAGCAAGCATGTAGTTATACATGTTTGTTTTGTATTAACTTTTAGCTGTAAAAGCTATCAAATATGTTAGGTATTGATTTTTCTTTTTGAGAAAAAAATCCTTTTTAAGTTCTCTGTGATTTTTTTTATCCACTGTTTTGAATATTAGACAACATAATTCAAATACACACATTATAACAGTGCACCGAAAATTGGTAAGATTATATTTAGTTATAAATTCCAAATTGTGATAAATTAAAAAGTGCAATCTTTATATTTTAAAGTTTGAATAAAAATAGTTAATTGAGGAATTGGAAAAAAAAAAATAGTAGTTAAACAAGAGTGTGGATAGACAGCTAGTTTTCACCAAATAATTCACGTATGCGAATGTCATAATTTTATTAAAACCACCCCTTCCTCTATGAAAAAAATCTCCAAAACCAATTAAAAGTGAACCTAAATTTTTTTTTTAAAACCACAGCAAAACTAAATCTTGAAATGAGAAAAGTTGTATAATACATTACAACTTTTATATTTTCACACTCTCTTCTATATTCATTTTTTAATACATTTTTCTTCCCTTTCTATAATATCATCTATTATATCTATTTTTTTTCCTTATTTATCTCATTTCTCCTTTACATACCCTAAATGGGGCGTGAAATAATAATTTTCCCATCCGCTGTCTCCAACACAAGAACATAATTTATGTTTTAGGTTGTTTTCCAGCATTTGAAGGAAAGGACAATTGCGTAATTGACCTTTTGCGTTTTCTTTATCTTACAAAAGGCCGTCCCTTGTTTTTGGCTAATGGGTATAAGTAGGAAAATTTTAGGGTGAGTTACTATTAGTATTTTCACTGCAATTGATTCTGATTTTCTGATTGGCCAAACAGAATTTTTGTGCGATAAATTTGTAAAAGAAATACTCACAACTGAGAAAGATATAAGGTGAGAAAAGAGACTAATATGCGATAAAACGAAGAGAAAAAACACACCCAAAAAAAAAAATTGTTTATGCTATAAGTATAAGTGAAGTATAAACTAAGGATAATATAAAATGGAAGCTTTGAAAATAGACGATTAATAACAAAAAAACGGAGACTTACATTCCAACGACGTAAAAGAGCTCGAGCCTGTGCGGTATCTTCGTTTTGTTCATCGTTAGCTTCGCTGCATCGAAACAACTTCTACAATCAGACACCACTGTTTGGATTATTCATTGTTGGGAATTCAAAGGGAATTTACGTTTTGGTTGATGCCGGGGGTTTGGGCTTCCTGTTTGGTGGAGCTTTTGGGGTGAACTTGACCTGAACAGAGAACGTCAATTTCAACCTAAATACTTTCACATAAAAAGGAATTCGCTGTTTCTAAGTACCTTCCGGCCACCTGAAGAGCTCCGATCTGAATCCATGCCTTCCCTGCTGAAGAAGTAAAACGACGAACTCAAAAATCCACAAATTGTGAAAAAGCTAGATTCGAACTCTAGACCTGTCAGACAAAACCAAACCGCACAACCATTTCGCTAACAACGCAGTTTTATTGCCAGCGTTTCAACTTTATTTTCTAAATAGGTTAAAATTATTTCTGAACAGTTTTTTCTAATTGAATATTGTAAAATTCATTGTATTAATGCTTAAAATATATGGTAATAATATTAAATTTTTGCATAGTAAATATTTAAATATTCGTAAAATTATAAATGATGGAAAGAAGATGAATTTAAAAAGTCTTCAAACGGGCTCTCTGAATTTCATGCTACGAATTGATTCATCTTTTTTATAATTATTTTTTGTACAATGTCAGTTGGCCATTATTATAGAAATCTATCTCTTGTTAATATGTATATAAAAGAAATTCTCTCACTCGGTGTCCTTTTTGTGTTTTTTTCTTAAATGTTTTTTTTTTCATAAAAATCGAACTGAATGATCAAATAAAAATTCTTATTCCACTTAAAAAAAAAATGCTGTTGAGGAATTTTTAAATTACTTCAACGAGCTAGTTTATATTCTACTCTAATTTTAAGCAGGGAAAACTTATATAACATAAAATTTAAAATTTTCTCTTCACAAATACACCGTGTTTAAATTTTAGAGAAATAACTTCTGGGCATGTTTTCCTCTTTTTCCTTTCTACGGTAAGTTGTGCTCTTATTACTGTTAATATCACTCGATAACCAGTGCAATAACATAAATGATTAGCATATCGCAATAGTTTATCTCAACTTTCACCTCTCTTCTATCTTTCAGTGTTAGGTTAATCCTCCTAAAAATGTAGAGAAATCTTACATAAATAATAAGTAAAATATAAGTAATAGGCACATCATAACTACCCAACATTTTGTGAGTTATAAGTGTAAAATATTAAATCACTGCTTTTTTTTATGTGTAGAAACAACCAAAATTAATTTTGTCTCTCTCAACAAAATGTTTTCAACACATGCGAGCAAGAATTAAACCCATATAAACATACTCGAGACATAATTACTTACTATGTTAAATTGTATTGATACGTCAAATCATTCTTTAAAATCAAAAGTTTATTTGAATTACCAATGTAATGAAAATATCATTTCTAAAATCGACATGTTCATAACATTAACACCAATCAATTCAAGTTTTGGCTTTGACATCTATTAGTTGGTGAATATTAATTAATTTTATTCTCAACATCAATAACCAATTAACTGATCCTTATCAAATTTATAGAGGAAATTAGCCAACTTATTGATGTAAGAAACTATATTGATCTATAATTCCATTTTAATTTCAAGAATCAAATTAACTACAGATAGATTTAATTTGCCTTTTCTCTAATATCAAGGATAATATCAACGGATGGTGTTTGATGTTATACTCAAATAAGAAAAACGCAGCAGTTTCAATTCCAGATTTAACCTAACATATCCAAAAATCAAGTTTGCTGCTACTTCCTAGGACACTGGGCTGCCTCAACTGTTGAGGTGATTTTTGGGTTAGTTATATAATCCAAAGAACGTTGGACGATTCTGCTCAAGTGTATATTCTTGCATTCAGATCAGTTTGGCATGAACGGACTAATGGCGAATTACAACTGAATCACGAAAATAAACCAATAAAGATAATCAAATGGAAGCGATGATAAAAGGAAACACGTCGACTGATTTAAATTCGTTTTAGACTTGAAGGCGTTCACCCCTTACATTTGATCTTGGTTCACCAAATTGACTTGAGTTATCAGATTTTATCCCTCTCAGATGACAATAAATTCCAGACTAATGGATGAATTGAGAAACATACATGCTCAAATTTATCCTAAAAGTTAATAATAAAGAAATTTGACTATTTTAAATACCACCATTAAAGAAAATACAAAACTTCAAGCATTAATTTAAAAATAATCATATTTATAATTATATAACAAACAAAAAGACATTACACTTGATTTTCTAATAACCTTCATAACTTCATATTTTTAACTTCTGAAGCGTGAAGTATAAGACACCAAATCCGAAGGTATTTGTGATCAGTTCATCTCACTTTATTATTTGAACTTGAATATAGACAAACAGATGTGATAAAACTCCCTTCCAAATTTTAATGCAATTTCAGCATTAGAAAAAGTTAGAGCATGTATCTACAAGCTGCATAACGCATTTGGTGATAAACGAAGGATAACTTTCAAAAAGAAATACTAAGGTGCCGTTTCCACTGGAGAACAAGATAGCCAACAACGAAACAGCTATATACACTTTTGACAGAATCTAAATTTGGGTTGATGCGGCTTTTAACAAGAATACATATAAAATAAGTTTGTATTATAAATGGTACAAAAATGGTTACGAGTAAAAGTTTGAGAGGGCACATTATAATTTCAAACATAACAATTCAATCAAATCCTAAAATTAAGTAGAATTGCTAAGGCCAACTCGAAACACCCAATAACAGGTGCACTCAGCCGCAACCTATGATGAATTGCGCATTTCCACCACCATGAAAATTGTCCACTAACATATGTATGAAAAAGGCATTTCTAGCTAAAACTCACATTTAAGGAGAATTAACAAAATCATGCGCATAAATGTGCAAGGCATAATTCCTAGCATATAAGAATGATCGCATGAAATCAAACAAGGTAAAAAAAGGCATGCAACCTAAATGATTTTGGTTGCATTTGAAAATAAGACTTAATTAAGCACTTATTTAATAAATCATTTTTAAATAATAACTTATATTATAAATTCAATGATAAAATTTATTGACAGAAATTAAAAATTGCTTATTCAGATAAAATATACCAAAAAAATTATTGAAATAAGATAAAATCAGCTTATGAATTACGATAGATTTAACAGGTTTCTGACCTTAGCAATATGTGGGGCAAGGACAATAACAACTGTGTAAAAAGTTCTATGCATGCTTTAGTTCAAGTGTCTAAACTAATTACGTTTCAAGAATCTAAAGTGGCCTTAATAGATTCTAGGAAGAAAAATAAACTTCCTATTTGACAGACTGCACCTGAAAAGAACAGGCACACTAGTGAACTAGCAAGGCTAGTGGATTTAATGAGCATAACCTTATTGCATTTTTGAATTAGTAATTTTAGATATCCCCCGTGACAATACAACACAGCTGTTTGTTTTAATTCAAAAGCCAGATATGAAAGCAGGAAAATATAGAAAATTTCTACAACTCCAATTCTTTGATCGTTTACTCTATCTTCACCCCGCAACAAAGCTAAACGAAGCATGTGCAGACAACTCATAAACACTATCTACAATCATTTTTCACCTCAGCCTTCATCTTATGCCAAATAACATTGACCGTGTCAACAGGACCACATGATCACTCCAGAAACAAATGAGACACTTGATAATTGCCTGTATCATGATACAAGAACTTGGTGTTTATAACACCATGTCAGCTAAAACTTTAATTTGAGGCAAAATGTAAAAATGCCACCAAAGTCTGACATTTATCACGCCAGAAACAGAAATAGTTTCAACTCTTTTACCTGTCACATTGGAACTGTTAAATACATTTTATAGTTGCATGTCAAATCATTGGGGAAAAAAAACTCTTCTACCAACCCAGAATTCCTAAAACAAATGGCAAGGCACGGTTACCTTTGCAATGAGATGCATCATTAAAGGCATCTAAAAGGCAGCTTCAGCACCGAGCGATTAAGAGAACTAGAGTCCTCAAACATAAAGATTTAGGCTCATCACCAAAACTATAAATAAGTTAGAATCAGTTCGGAATGAGCTAAATCAACTGAAAATGACAACAGAAAAGTATGACATGAAACACCAGGAACCAGCTGCCACAAAAGTTCAAGCAAACTTTCAAAAGAAACATTAGCAACCAGACATTACTGTGTAAATCAATAAAATACCACAGAAAATAATCCAAACAGTATTAAGTCCTACACAACAAAAAAGATTAATAATAGTCATAACTAAAATAAGCTTTTCATGTTGCCTCTGCCATATGCAGACTTTTCTCAACTTCTAGCCTGAATCTCTGCAAATTTCATAACAGTACAGCAAGGTTAAAGAAGTGAGTCCCAAACTTCCAAGAAAGACATGGCAAGAGGTTAAGAAATCAGGTTCACAAGAGCTCCAAGAAACATCAGGCCTGTCACAACGTTACATCATAACAATGAAGGGTTAAGAGAGGTAAAATCATGATAAAATACCAAATAAACAGACACAAGGTCATTGTTGATTTTAAGCACGATAACAAAGCATGAGAATGGACACCCTCAAGAAACAGAAAAAGAACCATAAATAAAATAAATGGAGATAATCTGCAAGATAATGCATTCCAACATATGCACTACTGTATAGATATCAACAATCAAACTATACACAGAAGTTGACAGAGGTTCCTTTTATTGGGTTTGTGTCAAGAAGGGAATTTTATACCTGAACCATTAAACTGTAACTAGTTTCTGGTCAAATGTACACCATAAAATTAGGAAGGATACTGGACACCATCACATTAATACATGAGCTGGAGAAAATAAATCCAAGTTTGTGTAGATATTATATACTTACACAGTCATACCAGTTTGCCCTTTTCATCTGTAAGGGCCCTTCAGTTATACAGAAGACCAAGTGGAATGCAAGTGTAAGAAAGTTAACAGTGAACATTGAATAAATCATTTTGTAAACTATAACATCTTTACTTAGGGGGCCAGAGAGACTATAGAGGCCTTTGCACCTAATATTGCCCTCTATTTGCAGAATAATAAACTAAAAGGAAAACTAATACATAACAAATGTATGAAACATTTAGTAGGTTAAAAAATATTGCAATAAGAATAAAGCAAAGATGTGATGAAGAACATAATGTAGATCAGTAAAACAATAACCATCATGTTGCATGTGAAAATCCCAACTTGAAAAAGGGAAACCAACAGCATATAACTATGAACATTGGCAAACAAAAGTTCATTTTAATAGTACTAATGTGTTAGGACTGATCCAAATCCAAAAAATACTTGGTCCCACCTGTTTCCAGTCAGAACAATATCAGAAGCAACTCAGGGTTTAAATGGGATTCTCAACCGCCAAAATAATTTCTAAAGTGGCAATTATATACTAATCTCGTAAAATCAGAGAAATTGTGAAGCCAACAAATCTAAAAGGGTTCCCATGACAAAAAGAAGAGAGTCAAGCTTAAGATGTCAAAGCACAACAGGAATGGAGTGCTAAATTATATCAAAATATAGAATGTATAAGATCAACTATGAAACACAAAAGAAATAGATATGGGAAACACACCTTTTGGAACTCTGCATCACGATTAAAGTAAATCATTTCATCTCTGCCATGAACTTCTCATACTCTGAATCAGCAGCATATGAAGTCTTCTCAGCTGATGAAGCAGGAGGAGGCACTGGCGGATTTGTGGCCCTAGGCACAATTCCAATGCCCTGGGATTGATCTGCAGATGATGCAGGAGGTGGAACTAGAGGATTACTGGCCCAAGGAACATTTACAATGCTGTGGGATTGGTCAGAAGTTGAGACAGGCATTGGGGCAGCAGGAGGAGGTGGTGGAGGAACTGCATTATAGTAAGGTGGATATCCATAAGAAGCGGGATATGTAGGTGGCGCTGCTGGTGGCATTGAAGGGACCGAGTTACCATAGACGTTGGCTGGTACAGACTGAGTTGAGGTACTATTGTCAGATTGCACTCCTGGAGGGTAACTCTGCTGTATTTCACTTGAAGTAGCAGGCTGGGATGGGGCACCAGGGGGGGCTGTCTGCACTGGAGGATATTGAACACCATAAGTAGGCATGGGTTGACCTTGCATGGGAGGATACATAGTTGACCCAGGAGGAGGAGGAGCATAAGGAGCATATGGAGGAGGAACAGGGGGTCCCCATGGAACAGGGGTACCACCGTAACTCCCAGGAGGAGCACTCGTAAGGGGGCCACCAGCAGTATACTGTTGGGATGGATAAGCACCAAGTGGCTGGCTTGGAATAGGATAAGTGGGCACAGCAGATGCTGGTGGGCCAGGAGGTACAACAGGCTGAGGTGGCCTACCAGCAACTCTCACTGCAATGGTTCGACCCTCAAGGCGATAACCGTTCATGGCCAAGATTGCATTGTTTGCCATTGTGACATCAGCATACTTCACAAACCCATATCCTTTACTTAAACCCGACATTCGATCCTTGATAACTTTTGCCATAACAATTTCACCAAATTGTTGAAACAATTGGATCAGGCCATCGTCATCAAGAGTGGGTGGCAAATACCCAATGTATAAATTCGTATCATCAATTTCTTTTTTAACTGCACTTGCCCCTAAGCCAGCCTGAGGTGCAGTGCCAGCCGTACCAGAATTGTTTGCCCAAGGAGGATTGCTTCCAGAATTGCCTGAACCAATTGCCAACGTACTGGTTTGCTTCGTTGCAGATTCAGGAACTGAACCTCCTAACTCTGCCAGAAAGTTCTGATACTCATCATCCATCTTCTTCCCAGTAGCACCCTTCACCGGACAATCTATGCTCGGGTGGCCACCATCCCCACAATGCTTACAGACAACTTCGCTCTTAAACGTTGAAGTCCTCGTAGGACATGCGTATTGGCGATGACCAGGTTCACCACACAACCGGCAATACTCTTCATCCCTAATCGTCCCATTTAATGCAGCAAGCTCCCTAAGCTGTTGCCTCTTGTGCTCATTCAACACCTCATCCACGGGTTGCAGGAGCTTTTCCACCATACCCGCAGCAGCATCAAGCGATTCCTGTGTCTCCGCCTCCACCAAAACATGCAAATCTTCATTCTCCGAAGGGTCAGGTTTCAAATCCCTCTTCTGCTGCAGTCTGCCCTCTTTCACAGATCCTTTACCTCGAATCACTATTTTAGCACCGGTTTCTTTCTCCATTCGCTTCTGGGTGTTACCTCTGGGACCAATAATAAGCCCTATGAAATTGTAACCAGGGTATTCTTTCATTGGTATATAAAGCTTCTTCTGAAGCTTGGGTGGCCTATAATCAGCAGGTGGCTTAAACGCAGGGTTTTTCTTTATAATCTGAGATATAATTTCTTGCCTCTCTTTTTGCAACCTCTCACGCGCACGATATTCTCTAGTGTTAATTCTAATACCCATGTTATCATATATAGGCTCGGGAGAAGGAGATCGAGCACCTTCTGGGCGATCATCTAAAGGCAAACCGGATTGCAGCATTCGACTAATCTCAAGCAGCCTACTATTCAAAGCTTGGATCTCGGGATCGAATTCAATACCGCCCATGAAATCAGGTAGCTGAATCACCGGCTTAGGCTCGTCGTCAGCCCAACGGGACTTCCTCTTCTTCGCTCCGGCCCCGGAATCGCCGCCGCTCGGATCATTGGAATCGGGCTGCGGGTCCCACCGGCTTCTGCGGCGGCGCTTGCTGGTAGTTTCCTCTTCGCCGCCAGATTGATCCTTGTCGGTGCCACTGCGTGTATTACCGGTCAATCCATTCTCGGAGACCAAGGGTTTCGCAACCTGAGGGTGCGAATTGTTGTCGGCAGCGCCTTGGCCGTTCTCCGATGTGTATCCGTGGGCACTGTGGTGGGTACCGTTGGCGTCGGAAAGCAGGGTTTCCGATTGGTGTTGCGGTGGGTTGTGATACTCTGACGGCGCATGGTTCTGTGGAGAGGGATCGTAGGGAGGATTGGAATTGAGAGCGTCCATGGAATGGAGAGATAGGGTTAGGGTTTTAATCTGAGCCTCAGCAGTGAAAGAAAGAAGGGAAGAAGAAGAAGATTTAGATTTAGATGCGAGAAGAAGAATTAAAATCATACACGTCACCCAACCGCCTTAAATATGTAACCCCTTTGGGAACAATTCCAGTTAACCATTTTCGCGGATTTCATTGGATCCATTTTCAAGAAAAATGTTAACTCATAAAAATGTTATCTCATTTTATTTTCAAAAATTATAATTTTAATTTGATATAATTTAATTATAAATAATTTAAATTGAATTGAATTTTTAATTTTGAAAATTTATTTAGAAGACAATTAACAAATTATTTTATTATTTTTAATTCTTATATATAATATAAAATTTATATATAAAGATATTACATTAAAATAATTTTAAATTAAGGTAAAATAAATAAAATTATAAATATATTAAATTATAAATAATTTTCTAAAACCCTTAATAAGATATAATTTTGAAAGAAAAAATTTTAAAACTAAGTGAATATTATAAGCTCTTAGATAAAAACAAAAATAAACATGTTTTAAGTTTTCTTTTATTTAGTAGTTTATCTTAATTTTAATTTATAAAAATATTTAAAATAAACTTTTTAAGAAATAAATATTATCTTTATTTAAAAAATTACTATTCATCTTATACTTTAGTCTTACAATTTTTTTATTTTCTTTTTTATATATATTTTTTCTTCCTCTTCTTATTTTTTATGTATGTTTATACAAATTATCTCACCCCTTCAAAGTTAAAATTTTTTGTTTTAGTTTTATGACCATTAGAGACAGCAAGACAATGGTTGTAGAAGTGTAGCAACGACTATATAAAAGCTAATACAGTGTTATTGTTGCTTACTCTCTATCTTCTTTTAGGACTTCATAATTCAACTGAAAATTTTACTTAAAAAAAAGGATTTTTGAAGTTGATAAAATGAATGAAATGCAAGAGGGAATTTTTTTTTATAATATACTAAATTAAGAGTTAAAAAAAAATAACATACTAAGCTTAAAAATAAGCATCAAGTTGACCAAAAAAATTTACAACTACACCAGCTTTTCACAAATAAAAATTGTATCTGAACATTTTTTTATAATAACAAAATAAAAAAAATAATATTATATAACTTTTTCATGAATATAATTTTATATACATAATTGCATACTCAAAGATATCTGGATCACACACCTAAATATAATAAATGAGTCTATTATTAGAGATTTTTTGTATACACAAAAACTGAGTCTATCATTAAAATTTTTTTGCATATATAAGAACTCGAATTCAAAATCTTGTTTAAGCAATACTGAGTTGCTTGTCATTCAGATCAACTTTAATTAGTTTTATAATGAATTTTTATTTGTAAATATCTGAACTAAAAAATATTGTAATAATATATCTGGATTGGATTATATAAAAATATTACTTTTTCATCACGTTATGAGACATCATTTTTTTCTTTCAAAAGAGTAATGTAAATACTTTTTTCTATGATAGTTTTTTTACATAATATACGTCATTAAGTTTTATAAAATATACTAAATAATAATTTAATTTATTATTATTATTTTAATTAATCTCCTTCTCTTTGAATACTTCACTCTTTGTCTTTATTAACTTTTTTTTAGTTAAACATGTTACTCTCTGAATTTTTTATTACTGTGAATGCATTATAAAAAATTTAATTTATCATAAAAATATTATCTTTTTTAAACTCCATTGACCTGTGAATACTGACACTCTTTTAAAAATAGGTTTTCAAAATTATAATTATATACTTCCAAAATAAACTTTCTAAATTAAGTTTCCAAAGTTTTGAAAATGAATTTCTAGAATTATTAATTATTTTGAAAACAAATTTCCAGAATTAAGATTCTACATTTTTTAAAATAAATTTTCAAAATTAAAATTTTGCACTTCCAAAAATTAATTTTCTAGAATTAAGTCTCTAGACTTTTGAAAATTAACTTTCAGAATTGCTAACCATTTTACAAATAAGGTTCAAAAATTAAAAATATGCACCTGCAAAAGCTAATTTTCAGAAATGTAAAATATTATTTCTAAAAATTTAAAATTCTACTTTAAAAACTTATTTTCAGACAAAATTAATAATTTCATAAATTAATTTCTAAAAATGTAAAAATCCTAATTTTAGAAATTTAATTGAGATCTTTAGAAAAAAATTAACTCTTTTAATAGAAGTGTGAAATGAATTAAAAGAAAGTGCAATTGGTAACCTTGTAAGGAGCATCGCTAAGGCCCATCATGGGGGACTCAAAGAACAATGGACCCCATAACATGAAGGGGCAATGGAGAAATATTTTTGCTTTAACAAAAAATAATTATAAAACCTTTTGCATAACAGTTCCAACTCGTGACAATACTAATCAAAATTTCATAGTACCATTCCTAATGGTGAGTTAGTTTACAGGGTCAAACAGTTACAAAATTTTCAACCTTCTGCTATAAATCGTCTTATATATTGTTGTGATAACTTGTTATGAATGGAATGATCGAAGTCCTAAATCTAAATTATTTTATTTAAATTATACAAAAAGGGTATAATGTAAAAGGAAAAATCGAACAGAAAATTTAACAAATGACGAGGTAAAGGAACTACTAGTCAACCATTGTATAGTTTATATTATAGGGAGCCACATAACGTCAGATAGTTCTACGAATGGTATGTCCACTATGTACACAGATCAAGGGAATTCTGTTCCATATCCTGACTCACATGACCATAATTTACATGAGATGTACACTTACTGTGTAACAATCAAAGGATTATACGCAGAAAAAAAACACACACAAAGTTGGTGCATTGGATCCATGAAAACCACAATGGAGAACAATGTTATATGCCCGAGCTATACTTGAACATGCAGCTACCATCTGAAATACCCAAAAAAATACCAAGTTATAACAATTCACAACGACTATTATCTGTCATGAAAAGAGCATAACATGTATAACTAGCAGTGTCCTAACATGGCCACAATTACATCCAACATATACGCAAAAAACAGAGAAAGAAAGTGTAATTATGATCAGACGGTCATGTACTAAGCCTTAACGGGAAGAGAGTATCCACTTCAAAGGTTCAAGTCCTGATAGCGGCAAAATATTCCACCACCCCCGATTCAGCGAAAAACTGTATAACTCACAAGTTTAGTTCAACTCATAGTGGTAATAAGACAAGATGCATGCTTGCAAGTTTAACCAACATGAATCCCCATTCTGGTTCCATGGCGAGAGCTCATTGCAAGGAATAAAAAATTAAATGGCCTCTATGAGTGAACACAGAGAGAACATTGTTGATGGTAACTGAGGGACATATGAGCATGGAGAGAGATAATAGGGAGAATTTACTGACATTCTCATGACTTATTAATGAATTCAAACAATAACAAAACATGAATAATTACCTTAGTCAGTTGCTGGAGCTACCAAGATCGAAGTCCATAGTGTAATCATACTCAATTGTTGGAATTACAGAAGCCATAAATTTTAGGAATAAGAATAGGTACCTACAGAAATATGTATGTTGTGATTATATCACCTCTTACACACAGAAACTTGTTTCTTCATCACAAAATGAAGGCAATGATAATAGGAAGGAAGGTTTTACTTGTCAACTTCAGGCTCAACTCCACGCGACATCAAAACATCAATGATTTTCTTCATCACTGCTCCATGTCTACATGGATGAATAGATGCATGCTTCCCAGGTAAGTGAGGATGGTCCTCAATTGTTACCTGCAACAATTTGAATTATAAAAACAGCATATTGAGTTATTGACATTGATATTAGAAACCTTGAAGTGATATGTATAGCCGATTCATATGCAATATCTCACCGTTTTGCGCGCATGGTCTTGACTAACATCTTCAAGGACAAGTTCTGGTTGCAAAAGCATTCTTGACTGGCACAAGATAGAAGATGGAATCACTAAACAAGTAATAAGTTTCCATGGTATAGAATTGAAAGTGATGAAAGGGTTTATATGTTTCTCACTAACATTTCGCCTAAATAATAAAAGCACCAAACCTCAAATCAAAATACAATAAGAAAAGAAAATTATTTTCCAAGTTTGGCACTAATGTCAAAAAGCTCCATTTTTGTAGTTCCAATGCATCATAGATGACAGAATGACTGTGCAAATGATTCCATCCTTATTCAAAAAATTAGAAAGAATACATTTGTAAGGAATCAGTTTTTTTCCTATTTGGGTCAGATATGTCAGGTTTTAAATCGCTAAAGCAATAGACAAGTCAAGAGTGATTAAATTATAGTTACAAGGATCAAGTGAATAAAACAAACCTCATCATATCCAGTAAGCCATACTCGAGGTGTTTGATAATATTTATCATACCTGCAAAACGAGACTTTTAAAATCATTGCTAGAAAATTATTTGTTTCTACATGAAGTAGAATTTTTTAGGATGGGAGGAGGGGATAGAAAGCATGACAAAGAAAAGAGTTAAGAATACAACTATAACAGGATAAAATATTGTTCAAAAAAGAAAAGTATAACAATTCAACAGTTCTTGTGCACAGAAACATTCTTTAAAAACAAAAAAAAAAAAAAACCGTTCAGTAATATGTTTCACATCTATAATTTTGAAAATATATAATACTCAGTTCAAAGATGCTTCTATTTTTGGTCCCAAAATAATTTCCATAACTGGTGAAAACTTTGAAGTTGTCTAAAACTTTATATAGTATCGGATCAAACTGTAAATACAAGAAGCCACATGAATTAAAAAAACTCAACCATGCAGCAAGGCTACCCAATCTTTCATCACATCATAAATAGCAATTTTGCTGAGGAAACCATCATCAGAACATCAAAGAGAGGCTATAGACATAACACTTTTTATAACAAGTTTAGGGGAATAGAGACACCCGTAAAGATCCAAGAACTCCGCATCATCAATATACAGAGGAAGAGATTTAATAAAGTAGTAAACCCAGTTGAGGGTTCAGAATTTATATTGAAATTCATATGCATAACAAGACAATCATGAAAAATTATATGGAAATTCATCTTACGTGATGCTGACGTCATAAGTCCGAGTTCGTAGAATATTATCATCATCAGGTTCATGAGCTACTAGATATGTGGACTGAAGATGCCCACCAATTAGCATAAGAAGTTAAGAACAAATAAATGAAATGAATCATATTTCTTAAATCATTATCAGATAAATGGCAGCAATCAGTAAAAGTATAATTTAAATAAATAAATAAAACTAATAGAAAATTATATGAAATATTATTACAAATTATTTAAATAATAAAAACTAAATAAACCATCAGCTGCATCATTTAACCCAAGTGATGTCCTCAATCACCATATAAAAACATGTCCATGACGAGTTGAGAAACTAAGCCCCATTAACATGGGGTCCTGGGGTCATTCTAGGTTTCATTGTAAATGCTCAAAAGGTTTGTAATGATGCACGTACATATTTTGACAGGATGTACGGTGAACTCCAACAACTGGGTTCGGTGTGTTCCATGCTCAATCAATATATCAGCAATGGTTACTTAGTAAATGACAACTGAATTTAAATAAAGGATTTCAGCCATTACGAGTATATGGCCTTCTAAAAGGACAGGGGAGGGAAAAAGCGTAGTCACAGTGTCAAACGTAATGTTGACATGACAATACATCTGCAAATAGAAGACTATATATTTCTATTCTCTGTCATTTGATTCAATAAAACTTAAACATAGGCCCAAAATTAATGGATAATAGCTAGGAAAAATTGCAATCCTGCTTCTAACAATATGATATCAACTTACAGGATCTGTTTCAATAACATTGTCAGTTTCTTCAAATTCTGCCATATCTGGAATATCTTCCTCCTCCTCAGATCCCATGTAAGAAGAAATTTGCTTAATAGAACTCTTTTTGCTGATTTCTAGGCTTTCCATGGAAGGTAAATTCTCATCCTCATCAGATTTGGTTTCTTGAAAAACAAATGCAAAGGAGCAAAGGTATAAGATCAAAGGGATCAAATCCAAACCACAATATACAAGCCTCTCGTCCAACTTCAATTAAAATACATACCTTTAGGTTTCCCATGAGTTGCTAGCCACCCATCATTATCCTCGTCATCAAGTAGAACTTCCCCACCAGCAGCTTCATATTCTTCTTCAACAGATGCAGCTCTCCGTAGACAAGGGACTGTAAAGTAATAAGCAACTTACAAGATCAGTATGAAATAGGACAGATAATAAGATAGCACAAAAAATGCATGAAAATTATTGGAAAATTGCATAGAATTAAAATCACGGCTTTCTTAAAACAACAGAAACAAAAAACATCATAATCTTACCATTTCTAGTAATTAAGAATTGCTTCTCAGGTGGCAAATATGGCTTCCTCTTGCTTGGCTCGCCGGATTCCCTATTATGCAATTTGGAAAACAGAGCAACACAAATCAATTTCTATATAACTCACATGCTTTAGCAATTTCTATATTCACTAATAGGTAATGAGCAAAAATCCAACAAAATCATTCAAGCTGTACTGGGACAAAACACTAACATCGAAATCCCTCTTGAAAGGTACATCTTTTCGGCTAAAAAAACACAACTGGAATTAAATTATCCAATACCCATGAGAGAAACGATCTAATAAGGAAAAGAAACAAAAAAAAAGTTAAAAATTAGAAAAGGGGGAAAACGAATTACCAGGACCAGGTGGGGCATTTGGCGACGAGATTATCGCCGGCGGTGACAAACTCGGAGATACTGAGAACTCCTTTTTCTTTGAAGGCGGAAACGGTTCGGGGACCAGTGATCCTCTCTACGGTGCCTTTAAACGCTTCGTGAAGCTTCTGAGAAAGAACCATCTCTTCCTCCCACTAAGGTTTTTTGCAATTTGTGAAAGAGATTGACGGAGGAAAGAAAGGTTTTGGAGTTTCCCTTGGCCTTCTGCAACACCTTCCCTTCGTCAATACCACCAACGCATCAACTATCCTCACACATGGGACAAAGGCGTCAATCATAATTATAATATTTACGTTATTTGAAGAATTTAAATTATAATTAATTCATAATCATTCTTTCTGAATTATATTTAAAGAAATTTTATTCGAATTAATTTTATATAAAATAATTATAATAACTAAAATTATTTAAATAATATTTATAATAATAAAATAAATATAAATTAAAATATATAAATATTATTTGTTAGTAAAATTTTAAAATAAATATTTTATTTACGTATTTAATATTTTTATATTATAATAAATAAGTAAATAAATTATAACCTTTAAAATATAAATTAAATTTACTGACTATATTTATTTTTTATATAATAATTTATTTTAAAAGTTAATAAAATATTTTTATTTTTAATCTTTTTTATATTAAAAACAATTATTTTTTATATTTAAATTATATATTTTAAAATTATTTTTAAACTAAATTTATATATATATATATACCTGTACAAACTTATGCAATGCCCTAAAATTTACTAGTATAATTATAAACTTTACTCCAATAATTTTAAAAATAATATATTTTAATATATTTTTAATTTTTATTCAATATTTTTTAAATTAAATCACTAATAATTTTAAAGAATGAGTGGTTAGAATGTATGGTGATGTATTTTAAAAATATAAATAATATTATGAATTATATTTAATAAAAATTAACTAAATTTATTATAATATTTTGTATTACTTAAAAGTTTAAATTATAAGTAATTTATAATTATTATTTTTAAATTGTATTTAAAAAAAGATATTAGAATTGATTATATATATAAAATTTATATTAAGAAAAATTAATTACAATGATTAAAATTATTTAAATATTATAGTAATATATTTTGAAAACATATTAATTTTTTTATAATAATTATTTTATTTGCATACTTAATAACTTTTTATCATAATAAATGAATAGATAAATAAATTATAAATTTTAAAATATAAATTAATTTTAATTGTTATATATATTCTTTATGTATATATATTTTGTATTAAAAATTCATAAAACATTTTTTATTTTTTTCATTTTTTACATTAAAAATATTTATTTAATAAATTATATATATATATATATATATATATATGAACATGATCTTCTTACACTGAAAATATACATTTCCTAGTATAATAATAAATTATCCTAAGATGATTTAAAAAAATAATGTATTTCAACATAATCTTTAATTTTTTATTCAATAATTTTAAAGTTAAACTACTAAGTAGGCTTATAAAATTATAAAAATAAAAAAAATTTAAATATAGGAAATAAAACCTAAATTGAGATAAATTATAATGATTAAAAACGCACAAAACCGAATATTACGAACTATAACATTTTAAATTGGGTGACCATTGTTTTTTTTTAATTTCCAAGCACACTGTTGTTCTTCCTATTCGATTTCCTTTCTTTGAAAATTTCTCTCTAGCATTCACCCATGTTTTGTAAATGCTCTTACAATTTCGAAATCGTTTCATATGTTAATGATGGCCATAGATGAGTTGTAAACTACCAATTACCTATGAAAACGTTATGTAACCCCTCAATTGAGGCTGCAAAGTAACATAATTGTCTTACACAAACGCACAAACACCCCTTCCCATCAGAGAAGGTCCATCATCCTAATTAGTAATTTAAACGAATTTTCATTTTCATAAGTTCAATGTGTCTACAAAGGTTGTGCGGTGATCATTTTTCTCTTAAAAAAACCAAGATTGAGGTTTGTTGGTCTTAGGAAGCTAGAAAACGGTTGAGTAAATGATATTACAGTTACCATCTTTAAAAGACAATAGTGGAACCGTTTCCACAACACAATAGCCACTCTTTGAAGTTGAAGACAGACCAAAACCAATTGTGTCTGTGTGAGTGACGACATTGGTGAGTAAAGAAAATGACAAAGACATACAAAACCTTGCAGGCAAAACTCCAAGAACTGGAAACTATACTCGATGAAGCGTTGCTGAATGGCCCAGAAACTCTATCCCAGGATTCTATGTCTAATGACATCAAACAGAAACTTGCTTTCATTAGGAAACTGTTATCTGCTGAAGTTGCATCTCATCCATCAAAACCCCATCATTTGCACCACATTTCTGAGAGGTTAGCCCAATTGGACAGTGCATTTCATCAATGGGATACTTTCAGAATCTCCTCCTATCATGAGTTTGACAAAGACTCTACTTGCTCTTGCACCGACTCTTGTCTGAATGACGATGGAGAAGCGCTTGATGAAACCGAATTGATTGTTTTTGAAGACCCAGAAAAGCTTTTTCCCGCTAAGGCTATGGTGGAATTTAGTGAGGCAACTGGGAATGTTGAGGACGAGCAAGAGAGAGGGAAGATCGAGAATAATGGATTTGATAAAGTGGCATCTTTTGTTTATGAAGACGCAAAGGAGTTTTTTGAAGACTTCGGAGGAGACAAAGCAATAGTGGAATATGATGGTGCTTTACTTAGAAGAACAGAAGAGAAAGGTAGAAAGAATAATAATGATTTGCAAAGAGAAGAAAGAAGAGACAGAACATTTAGGAAGAAATGTTGTGCACTGGCTGGTGGGGTTGTCATTGGCATGATACTGATGGGCTTCATTATGGTAAATGTTTCTGATTGCTTTCATTACGTGGAAGAAGTTAGTTTTGCCATTCCAACTTAAGAAGTACCAAGCCATCAAATGGTAAACTCTGCATCTTAGTATCTATTGCACACAATTTACTTCAAAGACATTATACAAAACTACTACTCATATATTCGGATTAGATCAGTTTAGTCTTTATATTATATGTATATTCAAACTAACAGTGGCTTAAGTGAATGAACTTAAAATGCTTTTATGTTCCCCCTCAAAATATAGACTCAGTTTAGTCTTCTATATAACATGCTTTTACAGTAATATACTACTATATTTAAACAATGTTATATTTTACAATTTAAAATTTTGATCCATTCATGTATGGTGGATTTGTGGTATTCTGGTAAGTTGTAACTATGATTTCTCCTGATTGAATAGTTTGTAAATAGCAAATTAACATATAAATATGCCTGCAGGTTTTTTTCCCTGAATGTCCTGCAGATGTTAGAAAACATTCCTTTTCACAACATGAATAAAGTTAACGATTGAATGCAATAGTTGAGAAATAAAGTAAACGCCATCACTTAACCACAAAAGCTAAACCAATTTGATGTCATTCTTCTGACTGAGCTTTCATTACTCTAAGACACAAATTAAAATAAAAGGTTCTAGAGAAAACGGAAAAATGACTGCTAAATGTTGAGATGCAAAAGGAGGATTATGGCATACTGTATCTTGAGTTGAGTTAGGGTGGGACTATGGTTGCTGGTGATATTCTACAGAGATGGAAGGGCAAGATGTTTAGGTTGAATGAGACAGCTTGTCAGTTGTGACAATATTGGAGTGTTGAATAAGAGTCTCTAGCATAAAAGTATTTGGGTAGTTTGTCAGTGATTAGGATCGTGGAGATAAGAGATAACTCACAATTCAACACAGATTTGACTTGGGTTTGGGTAATCATGACATGGGATGAAGGTTTGATGCTTGAAAAGGCAAAAGATATGAGTGATGGTTTGAGTGAAGTTGCATAGAAGAGAAAGAAAAACACAGAACAAAAATGAAAAATGAGAATAGTAAAAATAACAATTAGTAGCACACGGATGACATGTAATACACTTCTGTCAAATGATGAATCAAAGCTGACGTAAAGCATAACCTTAAAACCAAAAGAAGAAGTTAGAGTAACAAATTAAGAAAGGAAAATAAGAGATCTAAGTACAACTTACATATTGAGCATGAAAATATAGTTTCACCTATTTTATGTTAAAAATTTTCTTAATATATTAGTTAACAAGTTTTAAAATGTCTTATTAAATAATTTTTTATTATCTCAACAAACATGCATCCAATAATGAGTTTTTTATACAATAAACATTGTTTAATAAAGAGCTTTTACTTTTGTTTGAATAAAGCATTATTTTATTTTAACTTTCAAGTTTTATCACTTTAATACCAACGTCAGATGGTCTCCAATTTAACCTAACTTTTAAAATACTTTAGTCATTTGCTTTTTTTACAAAACTAAAGCAAAACAAAACAAAATAAATTATTTTTACAAAATAAATTAAAAACTAAAATCATTATTGCTTATAATTCAAAAGTTAAAAACTTACTATGTTTATATTTACTCAACTACAACAAACTTCACCTAACAAGACAACTGTTTATTTACCTAACTAATGTGCTTATGATTTGAATTAGAATAAAACTTAGTTTTGTTCTATCAAGTGTTAATTAATCAAAATTAAAATTTTTTGTCATCGATATATAATATCATTAAATACAATCGATAAACAACACTTAAAAATTAACATAAAAATTTTATTATAATACATAAATTATCTAATTATCTTTTTATATACATAAGATACCTCAATACTTTTTATTTTTTAAGTTAAATTATACATTTAATTTCTTTAACTAACATATATTTATAAATTAGACCCTATATTTAAAAACATTATGATTTATTTTCTATATAAATATTTGGTTACATTTTAGTTATAAATTGTTAAACGACAAAAGTAACCAAAACATTACAAAATACTTCTACAGGGATTAAACTGTACATTTTTTAACTAATTATAATTTAAAAAATACAGGACATAAAAAAATTTACTTAATTATCAATTTTAACATTTTCATTATATTTTTTTAATATGTAACTATTTTAATTTGAATATAATATAATTTTTATATAAGATATTAACCTTTGTAAAATCTTTTAAAAAAATTATTATAAAATAAAATATTTACTATATTTGAGGTGTGAAATTTCACACGTGAAAGAATGAACTTTTCCACGGGCAAGCAGAATTGAATACTGTCGAAAGCACAGCCGAGATAAACTTCAGAAACTCATTAAGTCAGAAGCAGTAACCAAACAGGCCCTTGGATAAACCGAATTTGGAATCTAATATGTGAGGTAATTAATGTTATTGTATGTATAGTGAAGTTCACAAAAAATCAAACAAAAAAAGGATGCTTTACTAAGAATGTATTAACAAAGAAATTATGAAGCATCCACCAGGTTAAACAGGAACTGGAAAACCCTTCTTGGCCATGCTATCCAAAACATCGTTGAGAGCTTGACACAGGCCCATAATCTGAAACGGTAAACCATCGTTAGTGAAAATGTTTGAGGAGATTGAAGGTTCCCAACAAGAGCGATCAGAAGATAAACAACATGATCCTCACGGAATGTATGGTAGGGCATAGGTGCCGCGAACAACATAAGGGTTCATCTCATTAAGAGTATATTTAGGCATCAGATGCAACATACTTCAGTGTACAATACAGCAATTATTTCTCTTATTCTCGTTTTCTTAAAACCCATAGAAATTGATTATATTGGAAACTTAAACTCAATCAACTTATTTCTTTCAGAGATTCATTCATCAAGAAAAGATTAAAATTGAAAAGAATTAGAACAATTAAAAATGGTAAAAAAATTTTCAGAATTTTACCTACTCAGATTCTGAAAAAATCCAAATGCAAGCTATAATCTATCCCTCAAAAAGGAACTCAATATTCAAATTTTAATAATTTTATGCAACCGCAACTGATGTGGGCATGAGAATCCCTCATCATTTATTGATCCACCCACAACCATTGCAGCCAAAAACAACAGATATTAATTTATAAAAATAAACAATTACCTGCTGGTCCCATCGTTGCAACTCTTCAGTGTCATCGTCAAAATGTATTACGGCTTCAACCTGCAATAAATCACTCAAATATTGAGCATACATCAGAAACAACAAGATTACTTCAATCATTGTTTCAATTTCTTTGTAGAGATTACTTTTATTAACAGAGGTCTAAACTGTTGTTTATACCTGATCAATAGAGCCCCTCATCCTATCCTCATAAATCATTCTTGATGCTATCTTCTCAGCCTGAAAGAGAAATCATTGCTAAGACCATGAAAGAAATTAACATAAATTGAATCTGACAACCACTAGGACCATTGAACATTAAAAAAATATCCAAGAGATATTTCCTGGTCTTAACCATTTTGCTCAGTAATTTCCGTATGAGCTATAGTCACTGAGCCATGCCTTTTGATCATCGAACATTTTTTTCATTATTTCAATCTGATCATTAAATTAAAATAAATCTTCAACCCGCAAAAAGGAACATACATCAGAAACATTAAATGGTAAATTCAATACACCACTATGTCTCTTCCTATAAGAGGCACTACTATTAATTCCGCTTTACCCAAAAAACAAGTACAATTGTTGAAACAAAATTCTATACCTTGTGTGGTGGGATCCCCAACAGTGTTCCTAACTCATCAAAGCTGCAAGAGAGGCATAGAGTTTAAAAGGCATGTAACCTAATAGTTTTAAATTAATTTTAAAATGATCTAGCCATAAGGGAAAAATAAACTGATAGCATATTTTCTGAAACCTGATATTAGTATAAAGCTTGCTTGCACTCAGAAGATTATGCTCAATCATAGCACGGTCAAGCACAGTGAAATTGTCTGGAAGAAGTGCTTTCTGGGGAAAAAGTAGAAGCTGAGACATACCCACTGTAGCTTTAAAAAATATGAAGATACAAAATAAACTTATATAACCTGGTGTGGTTTCAATTCTTCTGCAAAAGCATCAATTTCTGGCTTTCTGAGAATTCTCTCCAAATATACCTGATATATACAAGGGATTATTTACATTACATGATCCGTGTGGAAAACCACATGAAAGAGAGAGAGAGAGAGAAAGGGGAGACCTTTTGCAATATTGGATAGATCTTCAACTTTGAACACCGCTCATCCTAATCCAAGTCCAAAAACATTAATGAGATGAGAGTTGACCATTGCAAACAGGATTTTCACATCTCTATATTGTTTTTTTATTGAAGCATTTACCTTGTACAGAGTGGCAAGAACACGGGAACGTTGAGGTCCTGCAGCTGCCAATATCGTGCATGTAACAGCAGCAGATAAAGCTTGCTCAAGTGCTTCCTCATTAATCTCCCTGCAATTTAAATAAAGTGCACGCAACAACTGCCTAAGATATAGACTAAAACCACACTGGACTTATGCCAGATATATTATAAATATGGGTTTATGTGGCAAGGGCCCAACCAAGTCAAAATCCAAGATGTAGGTATTGCCTCCCAATGGATAGAGGGAATAATACAGTCTGGCCCAAACCAGAACAGAGTTTTGGAATTAGATTCATTATGAACCCAAAAGAATTTGATTGTTATCATAGGAAAGGCTCCAGCTTACCGCTTTCCATCAATGAAAAAACAGAAAAAGGAATGCACAAGATAAACAAATAATATGCAATTTATCAAAAAAAACTACATGAAAACACTAAGACACGACTTTGTTTAAAACATCAGCCATTTTTGAACTCTGACACAAATAACAGGTAGACAAATATTACGCATTCTATCAAGCATCACTGCATGGGTGTTACTTGAAATCTTATTTTCTCAATTAGAACCAGAATTTGGAATTTGGATTGCAGTGGCAAGCTCAGTTATGAAATAGGCAGAAATTGAAATTTCAAAATAAAATATTGGCAAACATGAGACTAATCTCATCACAACAGATCAAAAGGGATATGATGACATAGAATTCAAGATATGAGCAAGAAGGTGCTCTTCATTCACACAAAATATTATGAAATACCTAAAGAAGGAACAAATAACACACAAGATACATACTCGTCTCCTATTTTCCTTTTCTCAATTTGAGATATATCATAATATCGTAGGGCTGCTTCCAAAAACTTCCTTTTCAAATCTAAGATCCTTGCATAGCAAACCTGAAAGCAAATAGAGGGGGCAGGGGAGGAAAAACAAATAAGGCTAGGCTCAAGTATGCATCTTTTAGCTCAGTCACCCTTCAGCAGCTATCATTTTCAAACCTTGTACTTCAAATTCAGTACTTCATGCTGACTATTGCTAACCAAGAATGATGCTTTATTAATAAAAGCTTCAGCATTAACAGCATCATCATCCTGCCAAATAAAAGAAAATCAAATAAATTTTATGGTTCAGGCACTAATACAAATGTACCAACCATGGTTAAAGAGCGAACAAAAATTCGCATACAGCATTAAAATTATTTCTTTTATATGTGAATAAGATTAATAGGATCACGAGCATTCCAGTTATTAAAATATTGACTTATTGAGGATGTTGAACAAGAATATGTTAGAGCACGACTCTAAAAAATATAGCTATGAATCTCCGTGCACTTGAGTGGCTTGTTATGATTCAGAATATGGTCATAGCCACTACTTCAATCAAATATGGATTTCCTTGCACAGAAAACAATACCTCAAGGTATAAACAAGTAATTTGGACACACTTTGACAACCTGAATGCATCGTCAATCACCCTGATAAAATAAATCAAAGTAAAAATAAGTAAAAGAGTCATTTTCAATTATTTGAATTATAATTAAACTAGTTTACACAAGAATATAAATATGGGAGGCTAGAAATTCATTGAGACCTCATTCCTGAATCTAGGTCAATACCGCTGAGCATCTGAGCTGCTTTTGACCATTGCTTCTCAGATTCATAAAGCTCGGCAAGTTTCTCTCTAATAATTAAAACCTATAATAAAACAACATGTGACAATTAGTTAGGAGAATTGAATTCATTTTCAACCAAATACAATCCGAAGGGAAAATGTACATGAACTGGATGATGGATCAAAACATAAGTACATAATGCAATGAGAGGGGTTTTTTCTTGGAAGCAAGGAATGCCATAATTACAAGTAACAAATTTCTTCCCACAACACTCGAAACAAACAAATATTTTTTTATCTTAAAATTTAACTTCTGCTTTCCTTTCAAGTTTCAACTTCTCTGCGCATTGAAAACCCTGGTGATTGGCGTGGAAACAAAAATACTATTTCGATAAAGTTCTTGAGATGCATAGTTAAATTTGTGATTCTGATAACAAATGAGTGGTTCTTTCCTCTCCCAGTCACCACCTCCCTATAATTTATAAAATTGTGCCAATTGCCAAAATGTTGCAACTAAAATAATTAAATCGACCTTTTATCCGCATAGCATTTCTAATTTTCTATCACAGAATTTAATCCCCAAACAACTAAATAAGGAATATCTATGAAGCTAAATGAAAATCTACATGATAATTGACTATTAGCAAAGTAATGGATGATGCTAGGATCCAATTGCAAGCTTTGGGACTTGAGTCCCACATCAGAAGTATGGGATTCTAATGTTGGGGTAAATAAGGCCTTGGACCCTACAACTACAACGGCTAACTTTTGCAGTCTGGTTCTCCCAATGTTCTTATCAAATAGTCAACAAAAAGATAAATATGTTTACATGTGCAATCTTGTTTTAGTTTTCTCGTACTCTATGATAAAATCCAATTGCAATTAAGGAAGTAGTTAATAACAATTAAACGTTTCCGTTTAATGAAAGAAAGAAAAGATTACAAGCATTTAGTACTTTAACCAAATGCACAAAATCCAAACCTGCTCTTCGAATGACACGACTCGGGGCTGAATCTGGGCAAGGGTGTAATGAGCAATTTCTTTCTGTGTCTCAGGCTCCAATCTTCCCAACTCTTGAGCAAAGGTCTGCAAAAGTTGCCGTGACACTACTAATGGAACATCGTCTGATAACACTGAAAGATGAAACATTAAGTTTTAAGAGTTGATACTGAGGAAAAGCGACCACAAAAAAAACCCTAGATGTGAAAAAGATACTTAACTGTGATCTATGAATTTCCTAGCTTGAACAATGTCATTAGATGAAATGACAGCAGAGAGGATGTGCTTATACTGCTCTATCTTTTGTCTCTGGTCAGTAATCGCAGAAGCGCTTGCAAAAGCACTCTCCATCACTGTTACGCGTTAAAATTCATCAACACATCGCACCCTAATCTATGAAACCTAAATTTAAACTAATAGAATAAAATTTATGATTCTTCAAGATTTCTATCAAGTCACAACTTCATCAATCAATAAAAACAAACAACTAAACATAAATGAAAAAAATGCAAAAGAGCTGGTGTTTAGGCATAAGCACTGAAATCGGTTCGTCGGGTTACCTATCGGCGTTGTGCGAGTGTGGAGCGTCGCCGACAGTTACAGCGTTGGCCGGTGGAGGTTGTGATTCCTCACTCCTCCGTCGGAATTTGAATCAAACACCACTCTCCCAAGTTCCAACCTCTGCTCAACCCTCTTCACCTTCGTATATTGCCCACTGCTCTTTTTACTTTGGATTGAAACGTTCATTTCACCCCAAATATTTTCCAACCAAGTCATTTCAGGGCCTGCTTTTTTTTTCCATTTATTGGGCCTACTAAAATGACTTCCTTTTTTTGGACCGGGCCTAACTATCGACTATGATTATTCAACTTTTTTTATTGTAATCTTTGAACACAAGTACACATGGACCAAAAAACTACAGCACAAGACCAAAAAGCACGTAAGTGTGTTACCAAAAAGAGAGAATATGGACCCTGCTTTTTGGTCATGAATCTAATGGACCTAAAGTTACATGTAGAGCAACAGTTTTAGTATATAAATAGAACAAGGCTACTTAAATAGCCCTCTTCATTCGAGCATAATATTTAAAAAATACTTATTGTAGTATTTGTAAATTTGAGAAAATATTATGAGCATGTTTGTTTTTATTTTTTTAAAAATTTAAATAAAATATTAAATATATTTTTTATTTTTAAAAATAATTTTTTTAAAAAAATAAAAATAAATATGTTCTAAATATTTTTTAAAAATTAATAATTGTGATTCTTTAAATATTTTAAAAATTAAAAAATATTTATATATTTTTTAAATAAATCGTTAACTTCACTGTCTATTTATTTAAAATGAATCTCATAATGTGAGAGGAGTTAGAATGTCATCTTGATTTACAAAGTAAAGTAGACATTATTTTATTAAAAAATAGTAAGAATTTATTTGTTTTTATTTTAATTTTTAAATATTATATTTTAAAATTTATTTATAAGAAAAATAAAAATTATTTATTATTTTAGTTTTTAAAATAGTTTTTAAGATTAAAAAACTTAAATCAAAACATTCTATTTGTTTTTTTTTATTTTAAAATTTATTTTTTAAAAAACTTAAATTGACAAACAAGTTTTTATTATTTTTTATTTTAATAAATTATATTTAATAAAGGGAGACAAATAAGCTCTTAGAGTATGTTTGTTTCCTTCTTTAAAAACAATTTTTTATTTTTAAAAATAAAATATAATGCAATTTATAAAATGAGATATATACTTAACCAATTATCCAACAAGTAAAATGAAAATATTACTCTAGTTATAAGTGTTGAGTTTTCTTAATCTAGCTTCTTTTTCAATACCTCTCCTTAATAAAAATTTAAGAACGTGGAAAGGATATTGTCAAACAAGTCATGAAAGAAAGAGATTTAAATTACACTTAAAATTATAAGCTTGCATACATACAATGTGGACTCGTCACAGCCTAACTGAAATTATTTTTAAACTTCAAATTTTCTTATTTTCGGTTGGTTGATTCAATCTTACAATACAATCATTTCTCGAGAAAACATCCTAAGCAAAATGGGGCTTTTTTATTTAAATATTGTAAATTTAAAAACAATTTATTAAATTATAAATTTTTTAAAACTATTTTCTTGAGAGACTTGGTTGACGTGACATGCTGTTTTGCTAAAACGATTGACGAAAATATTAATTTTTTAAAAAAATAATAAATTCCGTCATCTAAAATGCAAAATAATCAGATCATGACACGTGTAAGTACTTAAAAAATTTTGTAATATTTATGACAAAATTAATAAGCAGTTTTGCCATAAAAAATGAGAAACTTGTAGATGATGACACGTATCACGGTCTTAGTGAATTTTGCCATAAAAATTAGACAATTTACAGAAAATTGACAAGTGTGATAATTTTAACCCATTACGTAAATTAAATATAAATTATTTTAATTTATTATAAAATTATAATCACATCATAATTAAATAAAATTCTAACAAAATTAACTAACATTGTACCTGAAAATATTTTTTTATTTACATACTATTTTAAATTACATCTTAATTTTAAAAAATTAAAATTATTAACATAACTAAGCATAATATTTTTTATTAGTAGATATTAATTATAATTATATTAAAACTAAAAAATATATTAGTAACATAATAACAACAAATATTTTTATATTTACATACAAATTACTAATGTAATGTAATGACAATACATAATTTACTTTCATTAAAAATTTTAATGATATAATCAAATAAAATCTAATTTAAATTTACATATAAATAATGACCACATTTAAAATTAAAATAAAATTACTAACATAACACTATAAAAAAAACATTTTTTATTTACATATAAATTTAAATTATATCTCAATTAGAAAAAAAATTATTAATATAATTAAACATAATAGTTTTTATCAGTAAATATTGATTATAATTATAATAAAATTAAAAAAATAAATTACTAATATAATACCATAAAATATTTCTTACATTTATATACAAATTACTAATGTAATCATAATACATAATTTATTTTTATTAATTTTAATAACATATTCAAACTAAATCTAATTTAAATTTACATATAAATAATGACCACATTTAAAATTAAAAATAAAATTACTAACATAATACTATAAAATATTTTTTATTTACATATAAATTTAAATTATATCTTAATTAGAAAAATAAAATTATTAATATAATTAAGCATAATAGTTTTTATCAGTAGATATTAATTATAATTATATTAAAATTAAAAAAATAAATTACTAACTTAATACCATAATACCATAAAATATTTCTTACATTTATATATAAATTACTAATGTAATTACAATACATAATTTACCTTCATTAATTTTAATAACATATTCAAACTAAATCTAATTTAAATTTACATACAAATCATATCATACTTAAAATAAAAATAAAATAACTAACATAATACTACAAAATATTTTTTATTTACATACAAATTTAAATTATATCTTAATTAAAAAATAAAATTACTAATATAATGAAGCATAAAAGTTTTTATTAGTAGATACTAATTATAATTACAGTGAAATTAAAATAAATAAATTACTAACGTAATACTAGACAATATTTTTTATATTTATATACAAATTACTAACATAATCACAATACATAATTTACTTTAATTAATTTTAATAACATATTCAAACTTAATCTAATTTAAATTTACATACAAATCAGATCATATTTAAAATAAAAATAAAATAACTAACATAATACTATAAAATATTTTTTTATTTACATACAAATTTAAATTATATCTTAATTAAAAAAATAAAATTACTAACATAATTAAGCATAAAAGTTTTTATTAGTAGATACTAATTATAATTATAGTTAAATTAAAATAAATAAATTACTAACATAATACTAGAATTTTTTTTATATTTATATACAAATTACTAACATAATTACAATACATAATTCACTTTTATTAACTTTTATAATATAATCAAACAAAATTTAATTTATTTTTATATACAAGGCCGCATTTAAAATAAAAATTAAATTACTTAAATAATAATAATAATTTGTATGTAAATATTAAAGATATTTTCTTATATGTTAGTAATATATTTTTTAAATTTTAATATAATTATAATGGATATCCACTGATAAAAATTATTATGCTTAATTTTGTTAATAATTTTAATTTTTTAAATTAATATGTAATTTAAAATAGTATGTAAATAAAAAGATTACTTTTAGGTATAATGTTAGTTAATTTTGTTAGAATTTTATTTAATTATGATGTGATTATAATTTTATAATAAAAAATTAAAATAATTTATGTTTAATTTGCGTTAAAATTGTGAGACTTGTCAAATTTTTGTAAGGTATGTAATTTTTATGACGAAATTTATTAAGATGGTGACGAGTGTCACCATATAAGAGTTTCTCATTATCATGATAAAACTAATTAAGATCGTGACACATGTTACCATCTACAAGTTTCTCACTTTTTATGGCGAAACTATTTATTAATTTTGTCATAAATATTGTGAAATTTTTCGGACACTTCATGATCTGATTATTTCACACTTTAGGTGACGAAATTTATTATTTTTTTTAAAAATTAATATTTTCATACATTGTTTTGGCGAAATAACATGCCACGTAGATCATTTAGATAATTTTTTTTTTTTTAAATCTGTAATTTAAGAAATTTTTTTAAATTTACAATATTTAAATAAAAAAGCCACAAAATGGAGTGAATAAAGTCACTAAAATTAATAAACCTTTTCAATAATCGAATGTTGGGCTCAGTTATGAGTGGCATGTCTTTGACTTCATTACTTTGGCTGAATAGATGCCACGATAGTGGCACATGTCAAACTCCAAGTGTTGCTTTACTTTGTTAAAGCGCTGTGATTCATGACGAGATTTTAAAGTTACTGAACTTGTAAATTGTATTTACTTCTATAATGAGTATTAACGAAGTTAGGGAAGATAATATGCTTAATAACTATAACTTAATTTGATAAATAAAAATTATATTATAAATGCTCTGTTCCCATGCCCGACAATCATTCATCTCTGTCAAACATTTGGGAGGGTCGAAATTTGACATTGAATATTAATGTGACAATTCCACGTATTAGTAGTATTTTTTTTATTTGTTCCTTAAAATTTGTAGGCCGAATCAAAGTTACTAAAGGCTGGTATTTGCAGAAAAACTTTCCTCATAAAAACGTGTAAAGTTAACTTTAATGGAAGGAAATGGTGGGGTCAAGATCTGAGAAAAGCTCACATGGCAGGCACAGACAAAATAATCTCCAACGGATACAAAGATTCCCAGTGTCTCCGTAATTTAATCCAGAACGGGACCCCACTTTGGTCAATTCAGTACGCGGCGCCCCATGATTCCCACCTAATCAGTCACTGTAACCACTGTAATCCCATAGTGGAAATTCCAGTTGTACCCTCAGCATTGTCGTTCCTCCTCGTCCTCGTTAACCTCACTTCTTTGTCGTCATTCCCGTTTCCTTCTTTAAACCCATTCCCTTTCAACGTCACCTTGGATCACTGATTCACTCTATTCTCAACGAGTTCACACCGAGTCCACTCACCCAACCATGAGCCGATTCAGGCGATATGAGCTCATCCAACAACCCTTCTGCTACTCCCCCTTCACCGAAACCCTAGCTTTCCCTTCATTCTTCGAAGATTCGCTTTCCCTCGACCTTGATCTTCTCCTCCTTCCGAGCCCCTTTGACGCCGTCGCCGATCTGGTGCGCACGCCCTCGGTTTCGTTCCGGCGACTTCAACGGGTGGAGAGGCAGCAGCTCGGGACCGATTTGTGCTTGCAGAGCCTCTGCGACCGAGTCGCGGAGTTGGAATCGCGGTTCGATCGGCTTCTTGGCGGGAAGAGCGGCGGCGATCGGAAGTACACATGGACGGCGGAGATCAAGGGAGCGGAGAAGAATGGGTTTGATAGGAAGTACAAGTGGGTTGCGGAGATCGATGAGGAAGAGAATAAGAAGAAGTTGAAGAGTAGAGCCAAGAACATCAAATGGACGGCTGAGATCAAGGGAAAGGGCGAGGATAGTGGGAACAGTAGGAAGTACACGTTTCAGGTGGAAAGTGGAGATGCTAAGAAGAAGGAAAAGGTGAAAGAGAATGAGAAGGAAAAGGAGAAGGAGAAAGTTAAGGAGAAGAAGAGAGGAAGTGGGTTGCGCATTGTGGAGATTGAAGAACACAGTGATCATAGAGATGTGGTTTTGAGACAGGTTGGGTAGCTGAACCCTTTTCTCATGTGAATTGGTCTGAACCCTTTTGACATGTGATCTTGTTTGTTTGATTTTCATTGGTTGGATGGAGTGTCTCAATTTTAAATAATTTGGTTGATAGATTAGTCATCAGGGTTATTTGATAGTGATAGTTAGGTGGTTTAAATGCGACGTCGTTTGCTAAGATTTGTTTGGCCCTTTTTGGGTCTTCGGTCCGCTCTTTCCATGTTGCCAACTTGCGTCTTCGCCTCTTTAATATTAACCAACTATTGTTTGCACTTTGCATTTATGGTTTTATGTATACTTTTTTATTCTACTTTCTTTTGGGTCCAAACTTATGTAGAGAAGTAGGAAGTAGAGAACATGGCTTGGTTTTAACTTGAAACATTAGTTGAGGAGGGAACTCTGATATGCATTTTGCTATCTGAACAATCCAACTAATGCATTTTACCCCTTTGAAAGAGCATACTCATCAAATGATGTGATAGAGCGATGTGTTGTTTCATTTGTTACTCGGATGAGGAGGATTTTGCTATCTGAATAGTCAATTCCTGTTGAAAATTTTGATTTGGATTAGAAATTTAATATTAGCTTTCTATCCCAGTGCGTGACCAGGATAGGGTTATATAGTCATTTTTATGCCTAAATCTGGTTAAAATACGTGTCAAGTGAATATAAAACCCAAAAATATGCTTTTTTCCTATTAGTGGTCGCTCTTTATTCATATTTGTGCTCTGACATTATGTGCCCTCGGTAGGAGATTAATTGCCAGAGGACTAGGATTTATGTTTACAATTCAAATTCTAAGGATAAAAGCTGCGTGCTCAATACATATTCTTCGAATAAAGTGTGCTGCATTATGAAATGAACATGTTTGTAAACATTGGGGTTTTATCCAGCGGGGTATTAGCTACTTTTCACTTTATTTCCGAAATATGTTTTTAATGAATTGTGGGTACATCCAGTTCCAGATTAATGTTGCTGTATATAAAATTTGAAACATTTTGAGTATGCTGAGTTCTTCTGTTGCATCTAACTTCTTGTTGATGAAGGCGTTTGCAAAGAGGTTTGGAGCTGTTCAAAATGATAGAGGCAAAAAGAAGGAATTATCTCCTCAAGATGCTGCATTGTTGATCCAGATCAGCTTTAGAGCTTTCGTGATCCGTAGGTCAAAGGCTCTTCGTGCCCTTAGAGCACTGGCTGTTGCAAAATCTAAGTTAAAGGAAATCAGAGCTCAGTTCAATAATTTTGCCTACCGACGTCATGTATCTCGTGATGCAGAGGAACGTCAGCGGTTTTCTGAGAAAATCATTGTCTTGCTCCTCACCGTTGATGCCATTGAGGTAGTGGTTTCCCATTTCTGAATATCTTTGTGGAAGATTGAATTTTGTCCACATTTTTTAACTGCTAAACATCATATCAGATGTTAATTTAGTGGCACGTCTGTAATGAAATTTTACAGTCCAGACAGCAAAATATAACTTACAAGAAAACTTGTATCACATTTGTAGTTTGTATCACTGTCAAGTTTTTCATCATCTTTAATACTTTGTTTAACAGTTGTTGAATTTTTACGCATACTGCTAAATCTACATGTAACAATGATTCTTATGTTCTGGAGTACTCCTGTATGCATGACTAAATCAACAGTTATTGGAAAGTCAAGTCACTTCAGTTACGAACTAAATGGACATTTATAATTTTGTTATTTGTACTAGCCAAAGAAGCAGGAAGGAACCATATACCATCTTTATCTAACAGGTTTGGTCGTTGCCTGTTTTGTAGGGAGCTGATCTGATGGTAAGATCTGCCAAGAGGTCGATGGTGGATGAGTTGGAAGCAATGCTTGATGTAATAGATCCCCAGCCTGCTCTCCCTGGAAGATCATCGTCACTTTCTTTCAAAAGAAGGACTTTTGATATGCCTGATGGTGTCATCAGGAAGGAAATTGAAGAAGGTGTTGCACAGGTTGTGCAAATGCTCGATGAAGCAGAGAATAGCAGCAGCACCTTTGAATGAAAGCATGTCTGCAGGATCAAGAAAGTAATAATGTTTATCTGTTTATTTCGTGATTTCCCTCTGCTGTTGTAGATTGTTGCTAGACGTATTTTAGTCTTTTCATCCAATGGCTTTTGTCTTGCTGTACTTTGGCACTTTCTGAATGAAAAGATTGGCTTGTCTAGTCGTGTTCTAGTTTTGTTATTTAAATATGATTTAGGAACCTTGTTCAATTGTATTTGTCCTTTTATCTTTAGTGCAATGCATCTCTTTTCTCTTTTGTTCAGGTGATCTTACCTTTAATAATTATCTCTTATTAAAAATACATGGGCGGAATAACGCCTGGCTCTATCTTTTGCTAAGCCATTGAAATAGAAGACAATATTATGTGTGTGGGAGTGTGCTAACTGAAACGAAATGGCCCGAAGTGAGAATAGAAAGATTAAGGATAAATAGCACTCCATGTATTTGTTCTCTTCAATTATTTTCTCTGAAGTTTTTTTTTTTCCTTGTACTCACCTGTTATTTCTCAATTTTAGTGTTAATTAAAAATATTAGGCCGATTGGTTTATGAAAATGTTTTAATTATTATTTGTTTTCAAAATATGATTTTCTTGTTTTTCAGAATTTTAAAACGTGTTTATTATATCTTCATTTTTACGTGCTGGCCCCCATCCTCATTCCTTCTGCATCCTATAAAGTCCAAGCCATTATTGTATTTCCAATTCTACTGTTGGTAGAAGATGGTGGGTCCATTTTACTTTGCCAACAATTGTTAGCCTCCTTGCCAAACATTGATCGTACAAAAATTGCTTGAAACCGGCAAGATTTTCCAGTTTAGTTCCACCATTTTGGTTTCTCCAGTGTTACCAGAAAAAGCACATTGTAACTGGATGGCTGAACTGTTTCCTTTACAGTTGACTAAAAAACAGAAGTAGTTCCTCTTCAATCTTTCAAAGACCCTTTGAATACAAATAAGCTTTTGATCAAAATGTGAGTAATAAATTAATGAAAAGTATCTCCCTAAGAATGAGTTGGGAATTACACGAGCATTGGGTATAAGTGATCGTGGATATTATGATGATACATTATCAGCATACAAATGAGTTGCGACCCATGGGTATGAAGCAATTGGAGTTACGTTCAATGAGTGGGCCTGGGTCCCCTGATGATACTTTTTCGCATTCCTCTTTTTACTTCTTACACCCTTTCTCTATTTATTGTAAATTTAATTTTTAAATACTTTTTAATTTTCAAATATATTTTTCACTCCGTACTGGCTACTGGTCATTCTTCTATTTGTAAGTTGTAAGCACCTCTAAAATCCATAACTTCATCTCTGCATATCCTCCTTCTGATTTAGTTTTACTTCTTTATATTTGAAATTCCAATCATAACAATAAGCAAAACAAAGTATGACATGTGTAACTTGTAACACCTTAATTTAATTTTCAAGTAATAATTTCGCAAAATGAGAATAATAAAATTTTCATTTAAATAAAAAGGTCTCATTATAGAGTTTCATAAAACAATTTAAAATAATAAAGAATTACAAATTTATATCAAAAACTGCTACACGACTAATTCAGTTATATCATAATTTTAAAATACAATCTAACTCCTATAACAGTTCATCCTTCCTTCATTGAGTCCGGTGTTGATCGTCTTAATCACCTGCAAAATAAATATAAGGGTGAGTACTCTACACTATCTAACACACATAAACATAAAGACTCACCTCAAATACTACACATTTACTAACATAGTTAAATCATGTATTCACAAGACAAACATCTCAATCTCAGTCACAATCATCATTCATCATCTATTCAAATTCAAAATACAACTGGTGCACCAACTGCACCAACATTTCACACATTTGTGCTTACGCACCTAGCCATGCTCATTGTGGCACTGTAATCATAGTTTCATACCATGAATGGTTGCCGGTTACTCCCGCCTCACGAGTACTGCATGGACAGTCACTGGTCGCTCAGTAAAGGTAGTAGTCAGAGATTTAGTCAGGAGGAGAGTGTGTGGCCTATGATGCACCCACGTTCACTGTTGGTGTCACCACCACTCTCTTTTCCCCAAGGTATTTCTACCGTCTTCATCTTTCACACCTCCAGTATATCGCTGAATCATTAATAGCATATCATACATTGTATACTTTGCCCACATTTATTCACATTTCATGGCACACAGGCCTATAATTCATTCACACAACATATCAACCGGTCATCCATATCCATTTCTAACCATTTACATCATTCAATCATCATTCCTTAACATGCTCACACACATTCTCAATTAAGGGTATGTCAACCCCATAATCAATTCACATTTCACTCCAAACACACAATAATTTTTCTTCAAATCACACATTCAACAAAATAAACAGTAATTTAAACACAATGAGATAGGGTAAAGTCATGCTTACCTCAAATAAAGACTCACACACCAAAACAACAAGGTAGGCGCTCCTCCACACGAACTTTATCCTAAATACTGTGAAGAACCCCATGAGAACCCAAGGAGAACCGAGAAAACAATGAGTGGGGACGAGAAATCATAAACTCTAACCATGGAAACTCACTTCCAAGCGTTCCCAACACAAATCCAACCTTCAATCTATCTCACAAATGACTTTGGAGGCAATTTAATCGATGAAATAGGGTTTGAAAGTGAAGGAATCAAAGAAATCTCGAAGGAAAAGTGAGAATGAATCTTTTCCAAACCCTAACCCCTTTAAATCTCTTTCTAGTCGCAACACTCTCGTTACAGCAAAAATCTCAAAGGGAATTACATTTTGGTTTCTGTAGAATCTCGCTACAACGAGATTGTACCCAGAAATGCACCCCAAAATTTTGCTTTGTTGCTACAGCGAGGGACCTCTCGTTGCAGCTAGAAGGCTACATTTTCATACCTTCCTCCCAGGGCCCTCTCGCTGTTTTCTTAGCCCAATCAATCTAATCCAATCATATACAACTATAATTATACTCATTCACATGCATTTATACACATTGACATCATCATTACGCAATCAAGTGCACACTCTAACATTCATTCATATTTAAATATATATATATATATATAATAATAATAATACTAATAATAATAATATAATAATAATAATAATAATCGATATTACAAAAATTCGGAGTATTACATAACCAAACCTTCAAAGGTTAATCAATTAATTTCTAAAGTCTCATAGGAAAGAGCTACCATGTCAGTCTCCATTTTCTTAGAGCAGTGAAATAAAATTAATTTGTGAATAATTCTAAAGTAATTCTTTTTTTTTTTATATAACCAAACTTGCTTAAATATGAAATAAAGTGTTTACAATTTTTAGCTTGTAAAGAAAATGGAACTTGTAACACCTTAATTTTACTTTCCAAAATAATGAATTTCACAAAAATAGGGAGAATAAACTTTTTCATTCAAATAAATCCTCATTAAAATGTTTCAAATTTAAGGAAAAGGGTTACAAAATTCATATCAAATCACTGCTATAGGATTAATTTAAATACATTAATTTCAAATTCATATCCTAAGTCCTATAACAGTTCCATTCACCCTTTCACTGAGACCAGTGTTGATCGTCTTGATTACCTGAAAAATGAATATAAGGGTGAGTACTCTATGTTCATTACACAAACAAATATAGAGTCTCACCTTGTGCATATTTTACATCATTTCTAATACAATTCATACAAATATATTCACAAACAACATTACTACTCAATTCATTTTTAATTCAACTTCAATGCACTCGCGGTACCAAACAGTTTACACACACGTAATTATCAAACAATAATCCCGTGCATTTACTGCACGCCAGTCACGCTCACTGTGGCACTGTGATCACTGATTTTCACTATGGATGGTCGCCAATTTCCCCCGCCTCACGGATACCACGTGGGCAATCACGAGTCACTCAACAAAGGTAGTGGTCAGAGGTCTAGTCAGAAAGAGAGTATGTGGCCCGTGGTGCACCCACACTCACTGTTGGTGTAACCACCATTCTCTCTTCCCAAAGATATTTCTACCGTCCCCATCTTTCACACTCCAGTGTATCGCTGAACCATTCACAACACAATATAACGGCGTTAACACGCCCCATCCATACACATTTCAGCATTTAGTCACAATTCACGGCACAAAGCTCACAATCATTTATTTTACATGACTCTTAGGCCCACATTTGTTCACAATAATTGTTCTTAATATACGGCACAAGTGCCCACATGCATTTACAATATAATTTATTTCAACCACACACACAATATTCACTATTGTACAAGGCTCTCAGCCTACGCTTTATTCACATTGCACGGCATACACATTGCCTTTATTTACTCACACAATATTTTTAACATAGTTCACATTTACATTCCTCATTCATCAAGTATTAGCATACTCACACCACACAATCACCCATTACGGGTTTCCATATGATATCACACCTCACAACACACAGCAAATTCCATCAAATACATATTTTCTACCCTCTATCTCAACCACATTGCAATATTCATCAAAATACACAACAATCAAACCCAAAGAGATAGGGTAGAGTCATCCTTTACCTTAGATTGAAGACCCACACTCGAATTCAACTACAAAAGTGATCCCCATACAGATTTCAGCCTAAATACATAGAAGAACTCCATGAGAATCCGAGGAAACCAAGAAACAGAAAAAGGGGATGAAAAACAAAAATCCTAACCATTAAAACTCACCTCCAAGCGTTTCCAATACAAATCCAACATTCAATTAAGCTCCTGAACGGCTTTGGAGGCAATTTAATCGATGGGATAGGGTTTTGAGTTGCAAGAATCGAAGAAATTTTGAAGGAAAGATGAGAAATAACATTTCTCGAACCCTAACCCCCTGTAAAACCTCTTTGATCGCGACACTCTCGCTACAACGACTCCCCCCTCGCTACAGCGAAAAACTCAGACAAAACTGCATTCTAGTTTCTGCAGAATCTCGCTACAGTGAAACTGCACTCAGAAATGCAGTCGAAACTATGGCTTTGTCGCTACAACAAGAAACCTTTCGTTACAGCAACATGGCAACAGTTTCATCCTTCTCTTCTAGTGTTTTCTCGCTACAGCGAGAAAGACATAGTTTCATGCCTCACGCCCAGGGCTTTCTCGCTACAGCTAGAATGCCTGCGGCAGCATCCACACTTAGCTTGCATACACACACCCACACATATATGTATATATATTAAATCTATCTCAGTCCAATCTCAATCCACATGATTACACACAAGTATTGATCATATTCA